TATATTATTCATGATTAATTATAATTCTATTAATTTATATAAAATTATATATATACATATATATATATTTCAATTCACACAATCTAAGTGATTCTCTCTTCTTTCTCCCTCTCACTCTCTCTCTCTCCCTTCTTCCTCCCTCCTTTGTAAAATTCTAAAATACTTGTGGAAGAAACTAGATCATTTGTCCTGTACAGATCTTCAGTATTGGGATTTTGCTGATTATATTCCCCTCGTTTAGCTTAACGTGTTCCTCTGTCCTCTGTGATTTCTGTAAATTGGTAGTTGGATCTAGGTGTTTACTTAGATTCAAGTTTTATTTGTTCATTTATTTTTGTAAGATAACTTCTTGTGTTATTCATCAAGAGGCACATACTGTCTGGTTGTCTCGTTTTGTAATTTTTTTGGTGCTCAATTGATGCTCAATGCTTAGAGTCCCTTTAATTCCTTAGGGTTTGCAAAATGATGGTCTTCTAATTCTATAGTTCTTTCTTATTTGTTGTAATACTTCTATAAAGAGAAATAAAAATTGGTTCTTTAGCATCCTTAAAAAGTGACCAGTTAGGTTTTATTTTTACATAATTTAAACATATTTGATAGGTGTCTTAGTCATCTAGTGCTGCTATAACAGAAATGCCACAAGTGGATGGCTTCAACAAACGGAAGTTTACTCTTTCACAGTCTAGAAGGCTAGAAGTCTAGATTCAGGGTGTCAGCTCCAGGGGAAGCCTTTCTCTCTCTGTCAGCTCTGTAGGAAGGTCCTTATCATCAGTCTTCCCCTGGAGTAGGAGTTTTCCATGCAGCAACCCCAAGTCCAAAGGGTGTGGACTGCTCCTCGTGCTGCTTTAGTGGTAGTGTCAGGTCCCCATGTCTCTCAGCTTGCTTCTCTCTTTTATATCTCAAAAGAGATTGGCTTAAGACACAATCTAATCTTGTAGATTAAATCCTGCCTCATTAGTGTAACTGCCACTAATCCCATCTCATTAACATCATAGAGATAGGATTTACAACACATAGGAAAATCACATCAGATGACAAAATGGTGGACAATTGCACAATACTGGAAATCATGGCCTAGCCAAATTGATAACACATATTTTTGCAGGACACAATTCAATCCATGACAATGGGTTTCAATCCATTGCAGTTATTATTCTTTTTGATGCTCAGATTGGGAGCTTCTTCAAGTTGGCTCCTGGATTTTTTAAAAAACAGCTCTAGTAAACTTCGATAGTGGTTCCAGACTTATCACTTGCTTAAGAGACTGCTAAATTTCTCCACACTATTTTTGCCTTTGTAGTTAACAAGTACCTTGTGAGGAAACACTATAAATCTATATATACCACACATTTGCCTACTAATTTTAGCATCCATTGATGAGTCTTGCCTGAAACATTTATTGCTATAGTGTTTGCCAAATGGCCATTTTCTATTTCTACTATTCCTTCTACATTTATTAAATGACCTATTGTAAGGAAGAGCTTTCCCTTTGCGCCTCCCCCATTTATTTATGTATGTAATTGTCCATTCATTCATCCACTTATTTAAATTAATATGGACGTACAGATTCTTATTTTATTCTAAAGATATTATTCATTACTGTCATTATTTATTTTGTTTCTCAAATTGCCCATGATTTGGCAGTTAGGAATCCCTTCAAATTCGTTCTTCTGGTTTTTGACAGGAGTTTTTTTGAGCACTTCCTTACTTCCTAGCACCGTGAAATAATCTAGATGCATATTTTACTGTCCAACCTATCTCTGGAATCAGCCATTTCTCCAAGCATTCCTGATTCCTTTTATTAGAGACTGGTATATATTGGAGTGGGCATTATCCTCTCACTCTTAACACGTATCTTCAAGCACGTGTGAATGTTTTTTTTCTTTAAAGAACAGTTACTTTTCTATTAAAAAAATCATGTTTTCTCACTATCTTACCCCTGATTTTTTTTTAGTTTTATTGTGCTTTAGGTGAAAGTTTACAGTGCAAACTAGTTTCTTATTCAAAAATTAATACACAAATTGCTTTATGACATTGGTTGCAATCAATCCTCACAATGTGTCAGCACTCTCCCCCTTTCCACTCCAGGTTTCCTGTGCCCATTTGTCCAGTTTTCCTGTCCGTTCCTGCCTTTGCTTTTGGGCAGGTGTTGCCAGTTCGTCTCATATATTTGATTGAACTAAGAAGCACTGTGTGTTATTGTTTGTTTTATAGGCCTGTCTAATCTTTGGCTGAAAGGTGGACTTTGGGAATGGCTTCAGTTCTGAGTTAGCAGGGTGTCCGGGGGCCCCTGATACTTTTAAAATACAGTTTCTGCTCTTACAGAGCTCACAGTTAAGCAGTTAAAAATGACTTTTACTCAATACATACTAATACAATGTGATAAGGGAGGAAGACTAACATTCATTGTACACATATTGTGTATAAAGCATTGTTTACTCATTTTACCAGTCATCTATTGTCACAAAATTTCTGCATACCAATCAACCACAGAAACTCAGTGGTCTACAACAATAAGTATTTATTGTTCACACTACTGGGGTGGTTAGCTTGGTGGCTCTTCTAACTTTGGCTGGGCTTGCTCACATGTCTAGGGTTGGCCAGCTATCAGTTAATCTAGTTTAGCATTGGCTGGGATGTCTGGGGCAACTCAGCTCTCCTAAATGTGTCTCTTTTCCTCCAGCAGGCTAGCCCAAGCATGTTCTTATAGTATGACAGAGATGCAAGAGAGCAAGTGGAAATACACAGGCACTTCACAAGTTTCTGCTTGCATCATGTCTGTTAACATCCCTTTGACCAAAGCAAATCCCATGACTAGGCTCAGAATCAGAGTTTCCTCTCTATTTTTCCCAACTTTAGTCCACTGGTCAATCCCAAAGCCAGTGCTACATGTTTTAGATTTTTGTTATTCTAGCACCCCACTTCTGGCACCTGTCTCGGTATCATTTCTGTATTGCTACAGCGTTTCTGCATAACAAACTACTATAAACTCTCAGTGACATAAAATAATAAGTATTTATCGCTCACACATCTAGGTGTTTTGCTAGGCAGCTCTGCTGATTTTGGCTGGGCTCACTCACATGCGTGGATATTGGCTAGGATGTCTGGGATGACTCAGATCTGCTCCTGAGTCTTTCATCCTTCTATAGGTTAGCCTGTGAATATCCTCATGGTGATGGCAGATCCTGGGAATATTCATTCTCATGGTAATAGCAGATGTGCAAGACACCAAACAGAAACACTCGAGCACTTTGTCTATACCTGCTAATCTCCCCTTCAACAAAGTCACTTGGTTGAGCCCAGAATCTGAGTGGGAGGGGACTACAAAGCCACATGGCAAGGTATATAGATACAGAGAGAGGTGAAGTATGGGGGCCATCATTGTAATATCTTTGCAAGATATTGTGGGAATATCATGGACAATATAATGTCCTTCATGTCTGCCTTTCTATGTGTGTAAAATATATGAAAAATAGATCAAAGCCCTCCTCTGCTCACTTTCAAAATGGCTGAACCAGCCCTAAGTGATATTTTCCCTTTCCCTGTTTTTCTGGAAAAGATTTTTTTGCAAAGTTTTAAAGTTATGTGCTGATTATTAAACTATTATTTCTCAGGTCCAAACCCATCCTTCTATACTCAGCTTTGTGATGCTGGGGCTGGGACTCTGTAAACTACATTTATCCTTTGTCAGCAGGCCTCCTGTTATATTTTTCCAATAATGGACACTAGAAGGAGATTGGAAAGAAGGAGGAAGGCAGAAGGGACTTGCTCCTTCCTGTTTGCTTGTTTTTCCTATCAGTATCCCTGAGGGCAAGGACTGTATCATGTTCATCATGAATTGCCCTTGCTAAAATCATCAGCTACTTGCTTATTGTTAAGCTGAAGGACCCTTTCTGTCCTTGTTCTCTTTGACCCATCAGAGGGTTTAACACTGCTGAACACTCCAACCTTCTTAAGATAGTCTCTTCCTTTGGCTTTGGTTAAGCTATTCTCTCCTTGTTCTTCCTGCCTCTCTGATCCCTACATACAAATGAAATCTTCTGATTTCTTTTACGTCTACTGCTCTTCATCCCTGCTGTCACTAGTCAGGTTCAGGCCACCATCGTCTCTCATCTGAACGAGCATAACAGCCTCCTAACTGGTCTCTGGCTTCCAAGATTGCCTTCCTCTAATCCACACTACTATGACCGCCGAGTGATCATTCCAAAGCACTAATATAATCTTGCCACTTCCCTGCTTTAGACTCTTCAGTGGCTACATATTACCTAACATAAAATCTCAAACTCCTTATCATGATAGACAAAGATTTTCATGATCTGGCCTCTGCTTATCCATTCAGCCTCCTCCCTGACATATATCCATACTCCCTCTATGCTAGAACCATGTGGGGCTACCAGTGAATTTCCATGTCTACTGTGTTTATCCATGCCTCTACCCATGCAGTTCCTTTTGCCTGGAATGTCTTTTCTTCTCTCCATCTCCTTCCTCCCCAGTATACACTTTCTGATCTTATCCTTCAAACCCAACTCAAATTCATCTTCTGTGTGAAATGTTCCCAGTGTTAGTGATTGTCTCCTCCTTTATGTGCCTACAGGAGCTATTATTGAACATTTTGTGTCTTTACAGATGGCTAGTTAGGACCTCCTTCAGGGAAGAGACAGATTTTTTTTTTCTTTGCAATCCTGGAATTAGCGTGATGAATGTATAGTAAGTGTTTGATAAATTAATGAATAAATGAATGAAAATGAACATGCAGAAGGAAGTGAAGACTTAGAAGCCAGAGACAGATGCTTACTTTGCAGCTGGTTACTGTGTAACTCTGGATGGGTGGCTATTTCTCAGAAAATGAGTATGCGACTCTCAAAGACCAATGCAGATAGCCAAAGTCAAACTATAGCAGGGATGACTTCCATAATTACCCCAGAAAGTCAGGCAGGGAACTCCTCACGTGAGGGTAAGGGGCTGGGACTTCTCAGTGGGGGCCTGTAGTTGTGCTCTTTGGAACAGAGTTCCCAGGTGCTGCCTGATTTCCTTGGTTCTGGCCCCATAGATGATGGGGTTGACTAGACGCGGGAGCAGCAGGTAGAAGGCACTGAACAGGTTGTGCACATCCTGGGAGGCAGTGCGGGCCACACGGTAGACAATAGATGAGGACACGGTGGAGGAGTAGACAGTGAAGATGACCAGCAGGTGGGAGCCACAGGTATTAAGGGCCTTGGAACGTGCTCTGCCTGTGAAATCTGGAAGGCAGCAAGGATGATGCGAGAGTAAGAGGCACCAAGGAGGAGCATGTCCAGGACTCTGTTGAAGATGTGAACAGTGAACCCCACAGTCTTGTTCAGCAATACATCCCTGCAGGAGAGCTTCATCAGGGCCATGTGCTCACAAGCAAAGAGGTGGATCACGTCTGAGCAGCAGAATCGAAGCCGGGAGGCCAGTCCCACCACTGGAGCAACGATGCATGTGCTCCTGGCAGCTGCTGTCCCCACAAGGCCAGTCAACAACTGGGTGGTTATGATTTCTGGATAGCAGAGCAGGTAGCAGATGGCAACATAGCGGTCCAGAGCCATGACTAGGAGAATATTGCAGTCAAAGACAATGAGGAAGTAGATGCAGAACATCTGGAACAAGCAGTGAGCCAGGGAGATGTGGTTGAAGTGGGCGGAGAAGCTGAACAGCATGGCAGGCACCACGATGGTGGTGGCACAGATGTTGACAGCCAGGAGCAAGGGGATGAGTGCGTACATGGGCTGGTGCAGGCTCCGCTGGGCAGCCACTGTGTGGATGACCAGGACATTGGCAGAGATGATCACCAGGTAGAGGCTGAGGAAGGGCAGCATGAGGAGGGCACGAGACTCCTGCAGCCCTGGGAAGCCCACCAGGAGGAAGCTGGTGTAGGACACGTTGGGGCTTCCATTGCTCCACCCTGACATCTCCCCTGGGGAGCAAGTTGTCTCTAGGAAGAGAAGAGTAGCAGGAGGCCTGGTTTCTATACCTTGGCCCTGACCAGTGCCTGCCCCACCTTCACCAGGCTATACCTCATACTTTGATTGTTGTGAGTCTCCAATATCCCTGTAAACAAAATGAGTTCATGCTCATAACTTAATGAGATACACATCTTTCAATAATCTTTGTATGCATTTCAGGTAAATTCCTCAGGGTAGAGTTCAGATGTGAAATTACTGGGTCAAATAATATGAATGTTTTTGAGGTTGCCAAATGGATTTCCAGAAAAGTTGTATTGATCTTCTCACTGAGTACTGAGTTGAATTACCATTTTTTTTTTTTTTTTTTTTTTGTAATCTGATGGTTGAAATATACTATCTCTTTAATTTGTGTGTTCTCTTTTGTGAATTTTCTGTTCATTTACTTTGCCTATTTATCTATTTGGGACTTAGTGTTTTCTGTAATAATTTAACTATTAAAATTATTATTCCTTTTTTATCCATTTCAAAGATTTTTCTAAATCTTGTTAGTGTTTTTACTTTGTTTATAAAGTAATTTAAGACTAAAAGTTTTAAATTTATAAAATTAAATCTACTGGTATTCTCTTTGTGCGTTCTCTTGGTTTTAAGCTTAGCAAGTCCTGCCTTATCCAGAGATCAAATATATAGTGTACTATATTTTGTTCTTCTTTAAAATATGGCTTAATTTATTTATATTAAGTTTTTGTTCCACACGAAATTCATTTTAATATGTGACATGTGGTGATGGTCTAACTTGATATTTTATCCCGGAAATAGCTAAATGATTGTCCCTGTGCCACTTCTCCACTGATTTGTGTTACCATCTTTATCCTAGACTAAGTTCTTGTGTATGATGGGTCTTTTTAAGAGTAATGATGTTCTGTTTGTCTGTTCTTGTGCCAGTACCGTACTATTTTTTTAAACAAAAGCTTTGAGATATAATTCACAGACCAAATGGTTGACCCTTTTAAAATGTACAACTCAATGTTTTTTTATATATTCAAAGAGTTGTGCAACCATCACCACAATCAATTTTAGAGCACTTTCATCATTCCACATAGACACTCTGTGCCCATCAGTAGTCATTTCTTTACTTCTCTCAGCCCCTTCAACCCTAGTCAACTACTAATCTACTTTCTGTTCCCATTGGTTTGCCTCTTCTGGGCATTTCATATAAATGGAATCATAAAATGTGTGGTCTTTTGTGACTGGTTTCTTTCACTTAGCATAATAGTTTCAAGGTTTTTTTATGGATGAATAATATCCATTGCAAGGATATACCATGTTCTGTTTATCCATCAACTGATGGACATTTGAGTTGTTTCTACTTTCTGGCAATTTTCAATAATGCTGCTGTGAACATTTATGTACACTTCCTGACATGAATCCCCTCAGCTTGCACAGCTCTGACAAGGAGCTAGCTCATTACTGTATCTTGAGACCATCCGTTCCATGAGTGGGTGGCTTTGCTTAAATGTCTTTCCCCACCTAGAGCTGAAATCCTCGTTCTCTCCTTGGTCCCAGGTCTATCCTCTGTTAACTCAAAACTCTGAGAAATAGTCCTTTAGGTTGTTTTGACAGGAGGCATTAGAAGGAAAGCTAACATATTTTTGAGGGTCTACCATTTTCTGGACTCTGTTAAGTGCTTTCACATGTATTTCCCCCCTCACTACCCGTAACATCTCTATTAGGCAGATATTATAACTGAGAGTAAGACATAGGAAGTCACTCTTCATTCATTGCTCATTTAACATTAAAAAAATATTTATTATGTACCAGGCACTCTGTTAGGCACAGGAGTTTCATGGGTGCACTTGATGTGGTTTCTGTGCTCAAGTTGCTTCAAGTCTAACGAGAAAGAACCAGAGTGCTATGGGAACCCAGACGATTCCTCTAATTCAGCTTGTGGGACAGGGAAGACTTCTCACAGGAGAGGACGTCTAATCTGAGAGTCGAAGTTCAAGTTAGCTAGAGGAAGGGAGGCAGGGGTGCGAATAATTTAATGACACAAAGCTGACAAGCAGTGGAGGTGGTATTAAAACTTCAAAGCCCAGGTCTGTCTCACTATCACACCTCAAGGAACACACCTGGGCTTTTGCGGAAAGTCTCATAAAAAAAACAAACAAACAAACAAAAAACTTGTAAGAACCAATCAGATGGAAGAGTAGAAGTGAGGGGATGTACTAAACTCTTGCTGATTTTCCACCACTAACTGCTTCTCTTGCAATTCTTTTGGTTTCTACAATATTGAATTCTCCAGAGTTTTTAGCTATTACTCTGTTCCTTTTCTGTTTTCTTTTCCATGTGATTTCCTTTTCCTACTGCCCCTTAAATATTGTTCTCAAGGTTCCATCCTCAACCTCTTTCTCCCTTCTTCTCTCAACCTGCTGGAAGCACAAGAATGAGGTTGTAAGAAGGCCTGTTGAAATGAGGATATTACTAGAGGTGGGGCATCAAGGGCGAGAGAGTTTAAGTGATTTATCCAAGGTCACAGCAGGACCATGGAAATGTTGGGATGGCTCATCTGACCCAAATCTGGCTCTCTTCATTCACCCCTCTGCCTGCTCTCTGCTCTGGGCCCGGTAGGGGAGCAGATGGTATTAAGCGAAGGCTTTATGGAAGACAGGACATTTGAACTAGGCCTGGGAGGAGAGGCATAGGCAGTGGAGGAGGAGGAGGGCATGGGAGGGCTGAGGCTAAGGCTTGACCTGAGGGGTAGGAGCGATGATGTCATGGGGTGGGAAGATGTGTGACTGATCCCAAAGACTTGGGTGTAAGGGGAGGTCGGAACCAAACAGGACTGTGTGGTTTGGGGCCCAGGAGCCCTCCAAGGGCATCTGGCTTGGGTTTGCTTTAGCCTTGGTTGGGATGAGGTGGTGGCAGGGTTGCTAGAGGTGTCCAGTAGACAGCCATGGCTGCAGGGCAGCATCAGGAGCCCTCCGAACCCTGCTCAGCACCCAAACCCAGGTGTGAGGTTTGCCAAAAGGAAGGACTTCTTCACACTAGGCTGAGTCTGCCACATGTGACCACCCCGCCCCGCGCCGCCGAGACTCTACTGTCCCCTCCTCCCTGAGCCTTGGGCAGCCCTGGTGACCGTGCTCTTCTCACTGGGGTGCTTGGACCCTCCACTTTGCCCATGACCTTCCTGCGGGGATTGGGGTGTGGCTGGGCGTGGAGGCAGAAGCCCAGGTAAAGGGGTCTCTCCCCTCCTGGATTCTGGGCATCCACCTCCACTGTGCCCCCAGGATTGCGGTGGCTCTCACTGGACGTGCCTCTGGGTCAGCTCACACCGTGGCCAACCCAGACCTCTGAGAATGGTTTGCTTGCTCTGCTTAAGCCTCTGTATTAGTTTCCTAGGGCAGCTGTAACAAATAACCACCAACTTGGTGGTTTAAAACAACAGAAATTTATTCTTTCACAGCACAGTTCTGAAGGCCATGAACCTAAAATGAAAGTGTCAGCAGGGCTGTGCTCCCTCCAGAGGCTATAGGGGATCCTTCTCAGCCTCTTCCAGCTTCTGGTGGTTCCAGAGGTTCCTTGGCTTGTGGCTGCATCCCTCCAATCCCAGAAGGTTTTCACACGGACTTCTCCTCTTCTCTCTGTCTCTCCTCTGTAGGTCTCTTGTAAGGACATTTTTCACTGGATTTAGGGTCCACCCAGATAGTCCTGGATGATCTTTTCCAGAGATCCTTAATTACATCTGCCCCAACCAGTTGCCATTGAGTTGATTCTGATTCATGGCGATCCCAAGTGTCTCAGTGTAGAACTCTGCTCCACGGGATTTTCAGTGGCTGATTTTTCAGAAGTAGATCACCAGGCCTTTTTTTCCGAGGTGCCTGTGGGTGAACTTGACTCTCCAACCTTTTAGTTAGCAGCCAAGTGTGCTAACCATTTGCAACACCTAGGGATTCCCAAGTACGTCTACAAAGACCCCTTTTCCAAATAAAGTCACACTCACAGGTTCTAGAGATTAGGAGGTGGGTGTATCTTTTGGGGGCCACCATTCAGTTCATGACAGCCTCCATATGTGGGATGCAGAAGAATGAGAGAGGAACAGTGAGGATGACTTGGCCTGTAGGCTCTGGGTGGAGAGGGGTAAAGTAGGGGTGTGTGTGTGTGTCTGTGTGTGTGTATGTGTGTGTGTGTGAAATAAGGGATGGAGGAGCTAAGGGTGCTGCTTCAAAGAAACCCATCTAGTCTGGGCCATATTCCTTATTTCCAAAGTTCAGCTTAGAACGGTGGAAACTCAGCCCTTGAAACCTGAGGGTTTTCCATGTGGGGCAGGGCTAATCCAGAAAGCCTTCCCGGAGGAGATGAGCTTCAAGCCTCAATCACTTCTCAGTTATAACAAAAGCAAATTAGACACAGAGACACAAATGGGGGAAGACAGATGCCGTATGAGGATCTTCTACTAGTAGAGGAACACCAAGAAACCAAGGAATGCCTGGGGCTACCAATGAGGATGGAATCGACATGGCCGAGACCCTGGTTTGGACTTTTAGCCTCCAGAACTGTAAGAAAATAAAATCCTGTGCTTTAAAGCCATCCATTCATGGTATTTCTGTTACAGCAGCACTAGGTAACTAAGACATTATATCAAAGCTGCTCTCTGATGGGATCTGAACCTCCACACATGGAGAGGTAAAATGTCTTCACTTTGCTCTCTGGCACTGACGATGGAAATTTTGGCATGTGGAGTATGTGGGGAGCCTTTGGGCATAGAAGCCTCATTGAAGCCCCTGAAATCTGCCTCAGTGCTTCATCTACTCCTCTGTCTCTGGGCAGGATTCATCAGAGCATCTAACTTTGGGTCTCTCTTTCTTTCTCCATCCCTCCTACCCAGCACATGGGCCTTGGTGTGCACTTATGGGAGGTGGTGTGGAGAAGTGAGCGAGGAAGCTTGAGACCTCACACAGGTTCTGGGGCCTGTCTCTGGGCCTCTGTCCATAGCAGGAGGGCACTGAACT